CCCCAAAACCCCAAAACCCCGCATCCATAGATCGTTTATACATTGTCTGAAAACTATTATACTTAATAATCACTAATTACCAGTCTAATTTTAAATTCAAAACAGATTTTTTATGAAATAAATGGAAGTTATAGAAAAATTGTCCTCAGATTAATCTTAAAATACAAAACCATAAGAGCTATCTGCTTCAATATATAAGCAGGAATTAAGCAGAGGCATCAGCTCATTTATGAGCTTTTCAATTGCTTTCACTAATATAGCATGTATCCCATCAATTTCATTGCTAATTGATTTCGGAATGATTACAGGTGGTCCAGTGATAATGTTTTTAGGTTGGATACTTGTGACAATATTTACCATGTTTGTAGCTAGTTCAATGGCCGAAATTTGTTCTACTTACCCAGTTACTGGTAGTGTGTATTACTGGTCTGGAGTACTAGCAAACCAAGAATGGTCGCCACTCGCTTCTTTTTTATGCGGATGGTTCAGCTTAATGGGTAATTTAGCTAATAATGCTGGTTAATCATTCGGTTTATCAAAGGTTTTATTGGGAATATATGCACTATCAATAAATGCAAAAGAGTCTTTTTCTATATAAACAGAGGTATTTTTATCTATTGCAATTTTATTATTTTGGGGGGTGACTAATCTCCTGAAAATTGAAATTCAAGGCTTGTTTAATAATTTTTTTGCGGTTTATCAGGTACTGAGTTCAATATTTGTAGTGATCATTATATTTTTAGTAACTCCTCACCTTTCTTCTCTCGAGTTTGCTTTCACTAAATTCAACAACTAAACTGGTTTCGACAATGTTTACTATGTTGGTATGATAGGTCTTTTGATGCCAATGTATGCATACTCCGGTTATGAGGGTGGTGCAACACTAGCCGAAGAGACATTAAATGCAAGTGTTAATGCACCTAAAGGTATAATTAACTCCTGCATTATATCTACAGTAACTGGACTTATATTCATAATGTCTATTCTATACGGATGTGGAGAAAACATAAACCAAATCATTAATGGTACTAGTGATCATGCTCTGGTTAACTTTTTCAATATTGTATTTAGAGGGAATAAAACCTGGGTTATATTATTTACTCTAGTTCTTATGCTTAATGTATTATTTGCTGGTTTCAGTTCTCTTATTATAACATCGAGAGTAGGCTATGCAATAGCGAGAGATGGTGCTTTCCCATGTTCAGATTATTTAAAACAAATTAATCCAAAAACCCGTACACCTATTAGAATAGTCTGCTTTTTACTAATTCTATCTTCATTATTATTGCTACTACCATTGATAAGTACTACAGCTTTCGAGGCTATTATTTCAATATCTACAGTTGGATTTCAAATTTCATATGCAATACCCATATTTTTAAGAATAACTCATTCAAGATACAATTTTAAGAGATCCAACTATGACTTAGGTAATAAATCTATTATTTATGGATATATATCGGTTATTTGGCTTTGCATATCTTCGATTATCTTGCTATTGCCAAAAAGAATTCATCCTTAGCAAGGTATAACATTAGATAATTTCAATTATTCACCTGTTATTGTTGGATTCATGATTTTATTTGCTTTAGTAAATTGGAATTTGCCTAATCCTTATGGAGCTAAACATTTCTTTAGAGGTCCCAAAATAATTCATGATAAAGAAAGGCTAAATTATAGCTAAGAATCAAATAAGCTATTAAATAGAAAGAAGAAGGATGAAGATATTGATATCGATATTGTTTGAGATTATACACAAAAAGAACTATTATAAATATAATTAGACACTGAATTTGATTAAAAATTACTATTGATTCTTAATATATTATAAACACTCTCGGGGTTTTGGGGTTTTGGGGTTTTGGGG